AGGTCCTTCATGCTCTCACCAAGACCTTCAATTCAGGAGAGACGACCTGAGGCAATCCAGACTCATCACGTCGAAAAGTTTTCTGCGCAGATGCGTTGGCAGCTCGAGAAAAAAAGTTTCTCCATTGCCAAGACAGTCCTAATCATTCGTATCATTGTCAAAACCAGCGATGCCTCGAACGGCAAGGCTTCGATTTCGAGGGCTGCCTGACAAAATTTGAATCTGGTTTTCAGCTTGTTACACACACCCCATCCGTCCACAACCCGAGACTATTCCGTGACGGGGCTAGGCCGCCTGGCCAGGCGACCAATGAATTGATTGTCAGTTGGCCCTTGTCGCCGATGTGGAGGCCAACAAGCCCTCAGCCCTCGAGTGTGAATGATCATCGATTTCGATAGCTGTTTTTGGCGCGCTAAATTTTTTAGCTCGTGGCCGGCCATGAAGTTCTCTGCACACCAACACAAGCTGTTCCCTCCGATGCTCCCCGCGCAGCTGAGACACTGATATCGAAAGTCGATTGTCGATATCGGTTGATGCGGACAAACGCCGAGACCGAGGCATCCGTGGCGGTTCTATTTTTTGTTAGTGCCAACTAGTTCGTGAGCTTGGCCGAGCAAGGACGAGAGAGGCTTGGAGGCTTGGAGGCTGACGAGGTGAGAATGATGTTGTCGGAGGCTCAAATGATTCAAGAGATAAGAGACCGAAAGGTGGACTCTTCTCAGCTTTCAAATACACCTCGTCGGACATAACTCCATAGTTGACCTTGAACGATGTAAGATGATTGGACCAACACCGAGGATCCGCCAAATTTGTCTTGGTGTTTGTTAACACCACGAGTTGTCGCCGCCGCTCTTCTCCAGAGACGCCAGGCAGCTCATCATTTCCAAGCCACAATCCCACTGACGACGACCACCGTCAGCCAGATCACATCCATCATCGTCATCATCACACACTGTCCGATACGCGAAGCGCGAAAGGCGATCGTCAGCACGTATTTCCCACGTTGGATGGCGGCGCCGCTTTTGCCATTTTTTGTTCTTCCCGTCTTCCACGTCCATGGTACCGTTCCCTCCGATCCTTGAAATTTTCGTCCGCGCACTGGGGATGATGCCATGACGCACACGAACCAATGTTTTTCGGGGCCCTCCTCGAACACTCTCACCGTCCGTAAGCGTGGAAGAGTATGGATAGATGGATGGCTGGCTGAAGCCGTTCCAAACCGCGGTGCTGATCGCTTCTTTTCAGTTTGTTCTCGCCAACACCAAGCGCCTGAGAACCACCGATGCAGCTGGGAGAAGGGGCTGAATTCCTCCTTCTCTTTCCCTGCGAAAAGATATCCTCCAACACCCACCGTGATAATCAAGCCTGGCTTCTAAACCCGTAGCTTAGTTCTCGTAACTTGAAACTCTCAGGAATACGCTGAAAACGGCGGTTCTTGCTTGTGCAAGAAAGATTCCAAAGGATCTTTAGCGTGGAAGCTAACAAATGCAAAGATCAACATGCTGTCCCGCTGACCGATCGAAGTCCTTCTCTCCCGTTCTGTCCAACCAAACCCGACTCTCAAAACCCCCCACACACCATCCCATTCCCAACACAGACGATCCTCGGACTCGGGTCAACCCTTTAACCAACCACATGCCCCACGCACGCTGCCGCAGCCAGCTCCGAAGAAAAGCCCCCAATGTCTCACAATGAAAAGAGTTTGATGACATCGTCTGGTCTCAGTGAGAGTACCCATTTCCTGTTTCTCTTTTCTCCCCTTGCTGAAGACATTTGAGGATGATCATCTGGGAGACGGGCGTTCTGCCGCAGACAACCCGGGTCTGGTCGGTTTATGGACTTAAGTGACCGCATCTCCGCGTCTTTCGTAAGCAGAAATGCGGAACCCGAACGTCAGCCGGGGTTGAGCTTGAGACGGCCTTGGTTCCGACCTAGCTAGTATCAACAGGACTTGCCCTGCTGGGGACAACGAGCTCTCAAAGAACCAAAGCACGGGGGGGACAAGAAAAAGAGGAAACTATCTCGCTGTTGGGTCTTGGGTCTGGGGAAGTCGTTGGGCTCCTGCATAGTGTAGGTGAAGGGCGACTTTTAATAGGGAATCGCAAAATCCGATCTTGGGAGGACAAGATCGGTGATAGGTTATCACAAAATCTCGATTCCCATGCCCATATTGTGGGCCTTCTTTGTTTATTCCGTGGGATGCCGCCGCGATCGTTCTTGCTTACATTCAACAAACGTATGGCCTCTGAAGTTCCTACCCACGAGCTTAGCGCTGGTCGTCAAGGTTGAAGAAAAAGCAACTGACATGGAAAGGAAGATGCTCGCTCAGGTAATCAACAAGGGGGAAGCAGAAAAAAAAGCGGAATGCCGACAGTTCTCGGCAGTGAGGCCGATCTGGGGACGGCCAATCGTGCCCCGCAGCGATCGCAACAGGGGGATTGTGTCCGAACTGAGAAATTGACAGGGGAGGCCCCTCTCAGCCAGTGGGCGAATCGTTAGGCTTGCCGCCCCGGCGGGTGTGGGGAAGGCCTCAGGAAAACTCATTTCTCGATGACCTGGAAGAGGAAGGCATTGGGAAAGAAAAACCCCCTTCTTTGCGTCTGGTTGCGTTGCGCTGCTTCGTGAATCGGGTTGCCCGCTCGCAGCTTGCATGATGGCTGCTGCTGCACAATCAAGGGGAAGGAGATAGGTGAGCGTAACGGTCACATTGGTTGTGGGGTATGGGAATTCTTCTTCTGTGATTCTGGCGCCGTTGCTTTCAAGTTCAACAACACGCCGGAGGGCAGTTTGATGATGGGAAAGGACAGTGCACGGGAACTACCGCTGGGTTTCCCATTTCCAATTGATGGGACCAGCACTGCTTTGAGAAGTGATGCCCACGAGGACGAGAGAAGAAGGGTTGGATGCTTGGATCGCTGGACACTACGCTACGAATACGGAGTAGCGTGACCCCACTTCGTGTAGCATGGGGGAGAAGCCGAGTGCCGTGAATGCGACGGGCCTGGGACGACTCTTGTGCAATGTGAGGCAAGAGAGAGAAACCGAATCCATCAATCATGATGGTCTCAAGACGACTTGTTGAGTCCTGCTTTCGCTCGCTCTGGGAGACGCTGTGCTTCCCTTCCCAGGTGGGTTCCGAGAGAGAGACGGCCTGTCGCGGGCATTGACGGCGTTGACGACATCGAGTGCGTGATGGGAGGAAGCAAAGGAGCAAGACATCGGAGGTTGAGCAACGTTCAAAGCACCCGAAATGACTGAAGCGCCCCCCGGCCGAGCATCTTGCTGCGGCGACACAACAGGTGACGACAAATTCGTCATGTATGAAACGGGTTGCCTCTTCTTTCCGTGCATAGTACAGAGAAGGACGAAAACGTGGTCGCCCGGGTGGTTCGTCGAGAAGCAGACACTGCAGGCTGAGCTCAATGCGGCCTAGCTCCAGGTAGCTCCCCACGACCAATGAGACGGGGTACGCGGCAAGTATTCTGGCGAAATGGATTGGTGAGGAATCGGACATGACACAGGTGTAGCGCAAGATCTCTCCAGTATCAGAATGCTGAAAGTTATCCGTATTTGTTTTCAATGCTTCGAAGCTGCCTGTTTTGTTGCCCTCCCGCGGAATCGTCGACAAGCGGCCGGGGCACAGCGCTTCGGGCTCAAGAAGCCCGGTTATCGTTTCAACCTCGACACACACTTCATGTCGAGGAAGATACTGTACCTAGTATGGTCAATCAAGACACCAGGATGGAGAGGCATCACCCGTCACCGAGCAGCATTGTCCCTGGTGGCTCGAACATGATAGATCCAAAAAGGCAACCCGGCATCACGATACGTTCGTGGCATTGAATGGCAGTGATAGCACTTGGATGGCTCGGCGAAGTGCCTCGGTCGTGCTCTCCTGCAGTGCTCGCGTTGGCGCCGGCTGGTATTGGAGCAGCCCTGGGGGTCTCATGCGGCCAGCGTCGCCAACCTGCCGCGTGCAGGTTTTGCTGCACGCCCAGAGGCAGTTCGTTCTCCCAGCACCGACGGCCCTCGCGGGAGCAGAAGCACAGCCAATGGAAGCGTCGCCTTAGGGGAAGTGTCTGTTCCCAAGTGGAACGGATCAGGGTAGCGAGCTTTGGCAGAGTCGAGTTCGGGGCGACGGAGGCAGCGAAACTGGGTCACACTGCAGCTGCAGCTTCAACAACTCGCCGGGCTCTGTGACCACCTCCACTCGATAACGGTATCGTCTCCCGAGCCTTGCCTATCAGCGGGCGAGTTCCCTGCGCTGTGGTTGCAATAAAGAGAGCCGGATGAGGTGCGAAACCCCCACGTTGCCCATCTGCTGTTTTATCAAGTTTACCCTGATCTTTCGAGACGACGATGCGACAGTGAGAGGCGAATTGAGATACGGCGGCGAAGAATCAAAGATAGCGTGATGGAGTGCGTATGAAGGTTGGATCGGTTGAAAGATTGACAAGCTCAGCACCACAAAATTCGACATTTTCGACGTGAGAAGACCCCCAGCAACTCGATTTTAGCATGTGGGTTTCGGGCGCTCGCGCATGCTTCAAAAAGTGCGGCTTGATTGGATGGCCCTGCAAAAAAAAAAAGTATAACCTGGGGGACCTCACAGCAGGCGCGCAGAAGGCACGAGAAAGCAGGCACACCCATTGCCAGGCCGCAAAACGCCTGATCGCTGAGCCCCGGCAAAGCCAGAGGCCGCAATACCTGCACCCCAGGTGGTGGGAGTGTGCTGGGCACACAAGAGCGGACGATGGCGCTGGCCTGGACTGTTCTTCACTCTCAGTTTTTCACAGGTTCCATGTTGTTCTGCCCGTGAATTTGCCCCGTCGGCCGACAGAGAGATGAGACGATACAAGATTTTTGAGGGTCAGGAGAACATCAGGGAACGAGCACCAAAACCTTCCTGGCCCCGATTGGCGGTAGATGAGATGAGCAAAGAGAAGCATGAACACCCACCATGAATTGCGAACACCACCTCATTATGGCAGTCAATGACGATGTGGTGGAGGGCAATTGCGCACGCAGCACACCTTCTCGCGCATTCTTTGGCCTGCGCAGCAGAACCGGGGTGTGGCCTTGACTGGACACACATCCTTGGTGAAGAGCCCATTTTTTTTGTGCAAGGGCTCGCCCGCCTGGGCAGCCAAGAAGGGCGACGAGCAGCGAAAACTCCACCCATTCGCTCACAAATGACCAGGGTGGTGCCACGACAAGTGCTATGTTATGTTCACCCCGTGCAAAGGAAAAAAATTCTTCATTGCACCCCATCCGCACCCCTGCCCCTTGGCTCCGACAAAAGGAGGTTAGCGCGAGCTGCAGCCTTTGGCCCTTTGCAAAACTTTCCCCACCACACCTCTTGCCCTGCTCGCGCGTGCAGCAGGTACGGGAGTGTACTTGTGTTTTGTGTACCCTTCCCGGCGGATTGAGGTGAAACGATACCACCCAGGCTCAACTGGCAGATGTACCTCGATGGCGCGAGTGTCTGAGTCTTCATGGGTCCTTTGTGGTCATGGGCCGCTGCCTCACTGCTCCCTAGTCCACCAGCCAGGATAGGTCACCCCAGGATACTTAACGCAGGCTTTCCCAGCTCCGCTCAACTTCACTTCCCATCTTGACTCCCAGACAGCTTCGTCGTCAACTTCACTCTCCTTCTTGTCTCCACCACACTCTGACTCTGGACCAACATCCATTGCTATGAGTCAACAAGCCTTCGACTTCTTATAATCACGGCTCTGCCCTCGGAAGCACCTCGCAACTCCGGACTCTCCCTTTCACTTCCACACAGCAAGACACCCCACCAGCACCTCCAACATTAAGCAAGACAACAGCAAGTGATCACATCACAACCACGCCAACAAGCTCTCGTACATACCTCGCTTTTGTGGTATTCCTCGTGTCTGACAGACCGAACACGACAAGGCTCGAAAACTCACCGCACACACGTACAATACCGACCGACGCCATGTCTTTCGACCAGCCAAGCACCTACCGGTCTTCGAACCAAACACTCTCGCCATCGGCATCCCACACCAGCCTCTGCTCGATCCGAAGCACTTCCTCCGCCGGCCTCGACACGGCACAGCTCACCGAGAAGGCTGCGAAGGAACTCCGGGCCTACGCTCGCTCGTTCGAGTCGGTCCGCCTACAACGTCGCCGCTCAGCATAATCAACACCGGAGAGCCTTCGCATCCTCCGCTCTTTCCTTTGACGAATCTCCCTTCTCATCAGCAACTATACCCCACGCTCAATCGAATTACGCATGATCGTTCTTAGACAAGAACACTACAACATACACACAGCTCAGTCTTTGCGGCTTCCCCATCTCCTTTGTCTTTCGGCACCTGGTATTATTGTAACAAAAAAGAATTTTGCATACATCGGAGCACAGCATCATAAAAAAGTCTTGGGTATCGGGACGGCGGGGTTTTACAAATGTTTTGATATTTACTCTTGGGTTTTCGGGTGGCAGGGCGTCTTTGTATTGGAATGGACTCGCAAATTCCTGGATCTGGACGAGAGATACCGTGTATTATGCAGCGATGCGCTGCAGGAGGGGTTTGTTTACTTGTATTTCCTTCGGTATCGGCTCCTGCATATGGGTCTGAAGGTGTTGGGCAAGGCGACCTCAGATTGTTCGGGCCCCGGATTGGCACATGAATAAGGGAATTGGCGTTGGAAACAGTATCCTACGGGAGCCACAGCGGGTGCTTAGCACCCAGCTTGTTTTTTCTTTGGATTGGATCGCTCGGGATCTTGGTCTTTGTCATGAACATGATTTTCGGGTGGAAGCTGCTTGAGCAGCGAGGAATCGGCTAGCAGTCAATTGCTCGGCTGTCGCCCATCCGCAGTGGGAAATTCCTCAAGATTGGCAATCATCAAATTGAAGCTTTTTCCAATCCAACCAACCGTGCCACCGGCTATCACCGTGCTCTCTGTTTCCCTTTCTTGCTCTCCACCCTCTTTCTTGCCGGGCACGCAATGCCTTAGCTAATAAGCGACTCCGCTCCGGCCACTCACCACTCAGCAAGCTGCCTCGCCGCACATGGCCGCCAGCCATTGTGGTTGTGCCAGAGAAGCAGAGCGGAGCTGCGTACCCGTCTTGCATCTCGGCCATTGGACCACCTTGCCAACCATCATTCGACTACTAGACACGTTTGGGCAGAATTTTTTTTTCTTTTGCCAGTTCTTTCTCTCCATCATCGGATGATAACAGTCATCTCGCCGCCACCGCTAGCGCGACCGATCAATTGAGTTTTGAGTCGATCTAGTTTAGCTTCTCCACAACTTGTCTCCCGTTTTTTTCGACGGACCCCAATGGCGGGCGAAAAAATTCAGTGTGCGGCGTAAATCGAGAGCGGCTCCATGCGCCGCAGCCACCTTGATGGGCGCTGATGAGGAAGCTTCCTGACTCCCTCCAGACGAAACAATCCCCGTGCCCATCATTCGAAGGGGAGAAAAAGTGGGAACATCCCGATGATGTTCCAGGTTTAGAAAATCCCCCTCTAGAAAATCCACCCAGGGGCAAGCGCTGCGGCCTGCGCCACGTTACACCTGTCTCGCAAGATACAGTGCTGATTCCCAGCGTTGCAAGTAAGTGTATGCGGGAAAACAGCCTGGGAGAGCAAGTTCTTAGTGGGAATGGGCTTGGGATTTGGGTCAAGGCTCCCAGAACGTGCTCAATGGAAGAATCTGCAAAGTCTTCTGATAGGTCTCCGTGGCGACTTTTGGGCCTTTCTGGACTAGACCAGCCATTGGTCTCTTTGGATAAACACCTCAAAGCACGACTAAACTTGATATTGTTAACTGGCTGGAAGGCTTCACAATTTGCGTCCGAGCACCTTGGCTAGAACAGAGGCGTGGAACCGGTAGAGCACTGACTCTTCTCAACTTTGAGCTTCAGCCAATGTAGCCACTATGGAGCAGACGGCAGAGGCCGAGACCTGGCCACCACCCCATTGAAGTTCTCAATAATCACTCAAGGCGTATTCGTTAGTCGAGAGTCATTCCAAGTCTCCAAGTCTCCGCCATATCCCCGAGACCTACCAACCTTGAACCGGTGTCCGCGAGACCTCCATCATGACGCTATACGTGTAAACGAAACAATGATCGACTTAATGTCTCCCCGCAACCCCGCGGTTTCACTTCACCTTTCTTTTTTCCCAACGACCTTGGCGCATCACGTTGGCCTCCCCTTCAGTCTGCCAAGGACGGAGCAGGTGCCGAAGATCTAGGGGAAATGGAACGGTCAACCTTGTGAGTTTCGTCGTCTTCAGGCAGAGTTAGCAAGTGACTCTGTTGAACCCCACACTTTTTTATCCCCTTGAATATCACCATCTCTGTGTTCCCGTGAGACGTCGTCGGTTGCATCCAATGGAGCATTATGCCATCGCCAGCCGAAGCGGGGTGCGGTGGGTGTCTCCGAAGGCACCCCCTCCATGGATGCTTGAGTCACGAGAGAGCCTGTGGAAACTCATCACATCACCAACTCACACACGACAACCTTCGACCGGGCGACACCCTCCGGACACAACACAAGACTGTCCGGTCACTCCACCCCCTTTACCCCCTCTATGACATAGGTACCCGTGGATCACTCGTCACTTAGTTCCAGGCCTCATCGCCGTTAGGACATCCATCTTTATGCTCAACCACCTCGCCCACGGTACCTTGACTTGGCCTATCCTTGTCTTTTAGCAGTGCGTGGAAAGTAACCGGTTTCTGACTGGCCAGAGGATCGAAGCAACCGAAATCGCGAGAGCATCTCAGTGATATTATCCACATCCTCTACCAAAAAGCTGCCCACGTGAATACTAGCTCGACACCGCAGTAACCACAGTAAATCCCAGCGGAACCATTTTCTCGACCGTTCGGCTACTGCAACCAGCCGACACACCGATCTGAGGCTCGGCCCCAGCGCCGCAGCGACGCCGGTCCCTTTCTCCACCGAACTCCCTGAGGTCCCCTCAACCTGCAACACAAAGAGGTCGACCGGTCGGCCGGTCAATTGCAGACTGTTGGTTGCCGCCCGTTGCCCGCTGAGCCCGCAGCGCGTCGTCTCGCCTTCTTCGCTCATGCTGGCTTGCTGTTCGTTCCCGTTTTGACGCGTCCGTGCCGCGCCGCAGCCACCACGATATGCGAAAGGGTGGCGGCCGACGGGAGGGGCTTTTCCGGGGGGTGGGGGGTAGGGGAAGGCTTCGATGCTATTTTGTTTCAGTTCCCGCTAATGTTTGTTTGTTTGCTTGCTTCACACAGTCATGGTTGCTACTCCTGCTTGCAGGGTCGGTTTTTGAAGAGAGTCGCTGCGTGGGCGATGTTGTGTTGTTCAGGCACCCTGCAGGGAACGGGCATGGGGAACCTGGGCAGGTTTTCGGGATATCTGCAGCCACTCCATCCCCTGCATAACGGCTTTTTTTTCCACCACAACACACTTTGCACATCTTGGGCCAAATGTTCACACAACCAACCAACTTGCTAAACCTTGTTCAATATCTGAGTCTCGTCACAAGAACCTGCATTTCCGGCATTTTCAATCCCGGGACATCATATACTTCAACGGCGCGGAAAACCTACCGAGGTATCAACCCCCACCTTTTATTTTTCCTTCCCTGCATCTCCTGTCCGGACATTGTCGGAGCGAACCTTTCCATTCCATCGAGCGTCATGGAACATGCATGCGCGGCTCGCGGCTCGCAGCCGGAGCTTCCCCGCCCCACCTCCCGCTTTCCCCCGGGCTTCGCGATCCGCCGCGACTGTAACGCTAGGGGGTTATCTGTCGGTGCAGTTCTGTGAAGTTACAGTTGTTTCCCTTGGGGTCTGCATGGGGAAGCGAGAGCGCTTGCTTGGGGTGACCTTCTTGAGACTGCATCTGGTTCTGCTGCTGGTTCTGCCTTGCAGCAGGCATCAGGCGGTACCCAGGCGAGCCAGGTGGTCTGCCCCGGGGGAAAGCCTTCTTGCGCGGGGCGGCCGAGCGGGCAAGGCCGAATGCAACGAAGGCAGCGAAACGAACACCCCATGAACGCCTCGGTGATAAAACTTTGATTGAGGTGACATTCTCTCTCTTCCGCCGGCGTGTTTCCTCTGGAATGCGTGCTATACTATCCGTATACGTACGCATCCCCAGTTTATTTTGTTCACCGAAGCGGTTTTGACCGAAGGCCGATCGAATCAACCGACCCCCGAGTGACCAACCGGACGGCTGGCCGAGAGAGGTCGGAGAATGGCTTCGGGGATTTTCTCCTTTATTGATGCCCACTTTAGGATTCTTGACGCCGAGGAGCCTTGATGGCGGTTGACGAGCGCCCCTCATTGGGAGACTCTGAACCTTTCGCTCTCTCTCCAAAGATGGCGGATAGCTTCCTTCTCCCTCGACCCCGATCTCGGCCGCAGTCCGTGTGTCACCGGGAATGTCCATTCGAGTCCAGCTTGCGCGTTGCTCGCCAAGGTCGTTGCCATCGTCTCAACGGCGGGGTAACTCTCAAGGTCCCCCGAGGCACACTGATTGCTTCCTCCGGCTTCCCCCGCCACGAGAGAAAGACAAAAAACGTACAAGCCAAGTTCATCCCCTTGCCCGGGGTGGCCTGCCCCGCCCGCACATGTTTGCCTGGGCGTCTTAAGACGCTCAGTTATAGCCCCCCTCTCAGTAAAAACCGTTGAACGCCCCGGGTTCGCACACCTCCCTTTTATTTCCAACGGCTGTATATTACACGTCATAAGGAATAGCCCTTACGCCACGGTGCAGCCAAGCCGTGTGCTGTCCTGCCCAGACGGACAAATCCATGAACAAACTTACCTTACCGGCGTTTATTTGCTCTTCCAATAAGTGTAAGAGTGGAGTTACATAACAACCAACCTTGACGGCTGGCACCGCCCTCATCGCGTAGAGTGGCGAATTTACAAATGTTTGGTTAATATCTCGGCGATATCATCACAACTCTCTTGGATGCACACCCCCGAATTGAGTAGGTGGCTTTGGGCAAACGACCCGGGATGTACGTGTAGTTCTAACCTGCTCATCCCGCTTGCATTGCGCATACCCGTATCGTGTAGTTTCTCTGCAAAGTTGTGCCATGAGGGTTCTCATACGATCTCCCGTCTGCTACTGCTGCAGGACCCTCATTTCTAGAGGTCCCACCCAGTTTTCTGTCGCTTCCCAGCCGCCGATACCTA